ACCCAAGTTCAATCCCTGGTACCAAAAAAAAAAAAAAAGAAAAAGAAAAAGAAAAGAAAAGAAAGAAACTAAAAATAATAATAGTGGCAAAGCAACTATTTACAGAGAACCAACTATGTGTTAAACGTTTTCTAGAGAAGTTATTCCTGCTATCTTCACATCAATCTGACAAGATAGACATCATTGGGTCCCCTGAACAGATGAGCAAAAGGTGGCAGAGAGACTCTGAAGGTCATATGCATGAGCCAGAAGGAAACCCAGATCTAACTGACAGCAGAACCCATGATACATCAGCCTCCCCTTTGGGGCTCCCTCACCTCTCACCTTAGCCACTAGCCAATTTTCCTGCCTAGAAGGCTTTGGAAATCATCTCCACCTGGTAATCTCTATCCCGTCATTTCAGAGGCCAAGTCATTTGTCCAAAGTCACCAAGGCACATAGTAGTAGGGCCAGGGTGGGACCTCTGTCTTTAGCCTGCTAGTTCTCTTCTTTGTCCACTTTGCCAGTTGGCTTTGGCTGGTTGGTTGATTGGTTGGTTGGTGGTGGTGGTTGTTGTTGTTAATTGGCATTGCTTGGGATTGAGCCCAAGGCCTCACACATGCTAGACCAGTGTTTCACCACTAGCTATAATCCTATCCCTGCCAATTAATTGCCTCCGAGGAATGGAGTTTGTGCTTCATGTAACATTCCAGAAAACTGAGTAAACAGAGAGGAAAAATGTAGAACATTGTGGAAGTGCCCAGCGATAAGTGGTATATAAGCCACAGGCCTTGGGGCAGTGGCGGGCCCTGGCCTGCACTCAGAGTCTGCAGAGGGAAACAACTCTACCCCAGGATGATTCTCCCTTCACCTAGTCCTCAAGATTGACAAGATCTCTTGGAATTTATTTCTTCCTCCTGACCATGAGGAAATGGCCAGTCACCTGTAGATTGTGCTAGTATGTGGGATTCTAGGGATTCCACAGCTCCCCATACATGGCTTCTTCTCAAAAAAGCCCAGAGCCTGCTGGCTGAGTCACCAACCTCTCAGGCACTCAGGTGCTGACCACTCCTTTTCTCCTCCTTTTCTAGGCACACAGGTGCACAACAGGGCTGTTCAGTCAGTCACTTAAGCTGTTTGCTGTGGGATTGTTCCCACACAGCACACACAGACTGACTTGGAGCAAGGAATGGTTTCCCAAGGAAAATGGGGAGGTTCTTACCAGAAGAATCAAGAGAGGTTGTTGAATATAAAACAACAAATTCCCATGATGTTCATCTCTGCTCTAGACCAACATCCAAGTCTAGATTTCTCACCTAGTCTCCTCATTTTTAATCACCTTCTAAACAGCCCCTTCTCAACAGTGGCAGCCCCAAATCCTTCAACTTTCCCCTCACCAAAAAAGAACTCCTCCATTAGCTCCTGCTCTCCCACCTATAAAATCCAGAGTCCTAGACTTGAAACTTAAAAGTCTTCATACTGAGGCCCTAACATGATTCTCTAGCCTCTGCACCTTCATCTTTCCCTCACTCACTCGCCTGACATTTCAGCCAAACAAGACCAGCTGCTCTTCTTCTAGCATATCTCACATCTGCTGTCCTCTGTGCCTTAACTCATGCTGTGCCCCTCCCCTGGAACACTTGTCTCATCCCATTTCCTTTCTCCCAGTCCTTGGAATCAAGCCCCAGCTCCAGGAAGAATCATGATTGCTGCGCTTATACCTCTTCTCCCATCTGATGATGCTCAATCCTCATCACCTTGTCCCTAGCACTCCGCCTGTTATGGCTTCTGTCTAGAGGTCCCCCCAAAGCCTCACATGTTCTCAGGCAGAGCTTTTGGGAGTTGGCTGGATCTAGAGTGTGTGATATTGGGATTAAGAGTGTGTGGTACTAAATTAGTCCACCAGTTGGTTCAGCATAGCTCTGGGTGTGGATAACACCCACTCTGGGTGTGGATGGCACCACCCCAAAGGCTGGTAGCCTGGCTGAGATAAAGGGAAAATGAGGCCTGCTGACTTCTGCTTTCTGCCTTCTGCTTGCCACAACATGGACTTTCTCCTCCGCAGTGCTCCTCTGCCATGCCACCCTACCCTGGAAACAGATGACTGTGGGCTGAAATCTCTAGAAACTGTGAGCTGAAATAAACCTTTCCTCCTTTAACTTTGGTTGTTGGATATTTTGTCTCCTCAATGAGAAAAGTAGCCAAGATGCCCACATCACCAAGACTGTGAGTGAGAGTAATAGGAGCATGAGAGCTAGGTCACCAAGTCAGCCTTCATATTAATCTGGACTCTAAACTGAAAAAAAAAAGACAAAACAAAACAAAAAACCATTCAGACCTCTTTAAATGCAAAGGTAATTGGCTCCCTTATCAATACACAGAGAGTGAAACAAGGCATTGCTGGACTCAGGGCATATTCATTTACACACAGACACACAGACACACACACACACATCAACCTGATTTTCTTGACACAGTGGACTCATTTCTTCCTACTGTCAGGAGCTTTCTCCGTGCAGCTGGAAAAAGTGGCTTCTAGTAATTCCAACTTATACCATCCTTTCAACCTAGGACCTCAAAAGGGAGACCATCTTCGGCTACCAAAACTCTGAGGATTCTGGGCCACTTGGGATATTGGATCTTCCCTGAACTAATCGCAGAGGCCTGAGGAAGACAGCTCTTGGCCTGACAGGCCAGCCTCCCTCATCCACATCAGGCCCAGCCCCACATTTAGAACATTTGGGACTCCAGGAAAGAGCAACCCCTTGCCAGAAGATAAGAGAAGAAAGACAGAATCACGGGCCCGAGAACCCTCACAACAGCCAAGGATGAGGACGGATTCACCTAGTACATTAGCAACCTGATCATTACTGCCAGTGGTGGCTAAGAGTCACAGGTGGGACAACCACCTTGACCCACCATCACAGCACTCCCATTTGCTGAGCCCCTGTGGCACATCACACAGATTAACATTCACTCCTCATGATGACCCTGTAAGATCAGTACCATGACAAGTCCCATTTCACATATGAGAAAAGCGAGGAAAAGGGGTCAGTCATTTGTCCACTGCCCCCCTAGTAAGAAGCTGAGGAGCAAGGATTCAAAGCCCGAGAGCCCAGTCCCAGAGCCTGGGTCTTCTATGCCCTGTCCACAGGAGAGCTTGGTGGTACCCTCGGGCTCTGCACCTGCAGGAGAGCAGAGCAGCCTGCTTCCCCACAAGGTTACAACCTCATATGTGCACAAATTCTCCTTCATAAAGCATCACAGAAGCCTGGCAACAGCTCCCACCCAGCCGTGCTCTTCACCTCGTGGGAGGAATCCAGCCCTGATCCCCACACAGCCTCCTCCCGGTCCCACTAGCCTCAGCCCTGGGCACCCTAGAATCCTCCACCTCTCAGCACCCCTGACTTCTTGCTCAGCCACAGGGGAAGTGGGGAGACAAGGAGCCCTCAGAAGTTTTGGAATGCTGTAGGAGGCAGAGGCCTCAGTTTGAGAACAGAAAGTAGAAGCTTGGGCCAGGAACCCTCTCCCCCAAAAGGGCAAGGGGGGACAGACCGACAGAGAAGGGGAGAGACACCAGGGGAGAAAGCAAAGCAGAAAGTAGGAGAAAGGGAACGAGATCATCTACACACTTCATTCTGCTCTCTGGACCTGAGGGCAAAATTGGGACAGAAGGAGCCCTTTTAAAACAAGAAGGTAGCCAGGCATAGCGGCACCTGCCTGTAATCACAGCACTTGGGAGGCTGAGGAAAGAGGATGTCCATGAGTTCAAAGCCAGCCTGAGCTATGTAGTGAATTCAAGGCCAGCCTGAACCACATAGCAAGACCCTGTTTCAACAAACAAACAAATAAGTAAATAAAACAGGCAGATAGAAGTTGGCAGCTACGTTTCTTGAGTTCTGATTCTCCTCAAGTCTTAGCAGGGTGAAAGGCTCCCATGGTGATGTTAGCTAAGGACAGATACCACCAAGAAATGCTCCCCACCAGACCCAACTCTATCCAACGAGCCTGATATCCAGAAGTCCCCAGGGTAACCTTGTCCTCTCCACCAAGGCTCCGGAAGTCAAAGTCTGTGGCCTCTGAGTCCTGGGAAGTGACGAGGTGCACGGGAGGACAGCACGGGAGGAGGGTGCCAGACCACTCAGCTTTCTCCCTGGGGTCTGAGCTCTTCTCTGACCCCATGTCACACCCCAGCATGTCTCATTCCTGCAGGGGAGCACAGATATCTTCCTTTGTCCCCAGTAAACTGTGTGACCTTGCTTAATCCCTTCCCTTCCCGGGACCCCAGGCTGCCAAGTCTGGGGGAGGGGGCTGAAACTCCTTGCTCCTGGGTTCCCGTCATTCTCCCCAAGCTTCAAGCCAGTGGAGCCCTCGTGAGGAGGCTGCTCAGGTCCCACCCCACCGTCCAATTTTCCTCTCCTGCCCACCTGCCTCGTAGAGCTTTGCTGCTCCATCCCTTGGAGGCCTTGCTAAGGAGCTGACCACCTCCACGTGAAGAGGCCTGACCAAGGGCAGGATGGGAGGTGGGATGGCAAATGAGAACAGGCTACACATCCTGAGATGGCAGTAGTTCCGATGGCCCTGGCGTTTTGGCTGGTGGTGGGCTGTAATCTCTGCACTCTGCGAGGCTAAGGCAGGAGGACCACAAGTTCAAGCCCACTTTGGGCAACTTGGTGAGATTTTGTCTTTAAATAAATAAATAAATAATAAATAGGGCTGGGGTTGTAGTCTAATACAATAGCCTGGGTTCAATTCCCTGAACAGAAAGGGGAGTAAAAATCTCTGGAAAGCAGATTGGCAGCACGGCTCCACCCTGCTCACTCCCACAGAACAGCACGGGCCTCTCCTGTATGGGGCAGCAATCCCAGGTCACGCAGCCCCTCCAGGCAGCAATCCCAGGTCACACAGCCCTCGCAACCTGGGACACATCTGCTTCCCTCTCTGCAGCCCGTGAGGGCGCTTGGGCCCTGCCATGACAGAGCAATACATCGCACGCCCCCAGCCTGCGCCAAATGTCAGCCATGTCGCCCGGTGCCCCACCCCACTCCCAAGAACCAAAGGCACCCCTTCCAGAGAAGAACAAGAGGGGCCTCGTCATTAATAGCGCTGGCGGCAAGGTAAAGCCGCCCGCCCGCCCCGTGCACCCTCGCCCATAATTATGCCAGCGCGGCTTTCATCCCCACGCGCACACGCGGAAAGTTTATTGTTGTATTTCGGCCTTTTTTCAGTCTCCTCTGCCTTTCATGCAAGGGGAAGGGTGCCAAGGGGTCAAAGCATCCTCCCCCAGAGCCTCTCCCTGCTTCAGTCCTTTTAGAAAAACACCCAAAGCCATAATTTGTCTTAGAATTTCTTTTGAAACAGCTACAAGAAAGACTAACGACTGCTCTTTTCCCTCTGTTTCTGATTCCAGCCATCCCTTTATCTGGCTTTCATTAGAGCCTCGGCCGCGCCTCTTTTGTGGGAGAGACTTGAGGGAGCCGAGGCAGTTTCCCAGCCGCTGTGATGTTGCTAAAGATTAAAAAGGAGCTTTGAAGCTGCACCAGTTCTCTGCGCGCCTCCTCGGTACAGGACCTCAGAAAGACCCAAGCCATCTGGCAAACCTGACATAAAGACAAAATAAAGTGATTGAAACAGTCTCTTCAAAGCCACAATGGCAGATTTGTTGATTTGGGCGTTATCTTTCATGCGAGGCCCTCAGAAGTCTCCAGAACACCTAGGCAATCTCAGGCGGGCCTAACTGGAGTGGAAGGAGCCTTCCAGGCGGAGGCTGAGAGGGCCCTGGCAGCGCCTGGCCTGGCGGGGGTGGAAGGATGGATTGCGGGCTGCTGGGAGTGGCCCGGGCACTCAACAGTTGCATCCAGGGTGGGCTCTGTGTCGCCAGCGAGACCATTCGCTGGGGCTCCAGCCTGCCTCTGCCCGCAGGGGCACCTGACACTCGCCTATGCGAGTCTGCCCTGAGCAGGAAGGGAGTGGCTGGGATGAAAGGGCGCTGCCCTGACTGCAACAGACAGCCTCTGCCCGTTCGTTAGTAATGTTCCATTCTCCAGGCAGGGAAGGCCTGCGCAGATGGCTGTCTGCCAGGGCCGGGGAAAAGCTTTCTTCAGCAAATTGAGCACTGGGCCAGCAGAGAGCCAAAGGTACCTCTGACCCACTTCTTCCTGATGCCCATGTTCCCGGAAACGGGCGCTGGACATTTCCTCCTTCCAAAGGGGCAGGGCCCGCCCCAATGGGCAGAGTTTCCCTTATCCTGTTGGGTGGCACCGCCTGCAGCTCCAGGCTCTGGATCCTGCTGTTTCATGGCCTGGATGGGAACTCTGGAGGGAGCCAGCATTAGAGCCAGCACTACAACTAAACAGAGCCTCCAGCACTGAGCTTCAGGCAATGGTGTGGGGGATCCCACCCCACACACCCACTACTGTTGGGACCACAAACTGCTTTGATGCCTCAGTTGTCCTCCAGGAGGAGTCAGATGCTGGGGCAAATCAGAGCTCTGTGAACATCCCTGAAAGGGCGCAGGTGGAGTCAGAGCAGGTGGGCCTCCGTTCCCCCACCTTGCTGCAAACAGCTGTGCTGCTTCCATCTGCTGCACACACCCAGCCTGATCTCCAGCCCTTTCTTAAGGTTCTGTTGATCCAGACATACAACTTAAAAGGCACAGGGTTACATCCTTCCTCTGACCTCTTTGAACCCGAGATTCCAACTAAACTGTTTCACCCAGTTTTAGTAAAATAATGAATTCTGACCACCAATCAACTACCAAGAATCTACTAAGGACCTACTGTGCACTCCCACCCAGAAAATGCGATATCTCCTGGTTCTCAGACGACAGCCCAGAGGAGTCTTAAAAGGTATTCACGCTCACCAGGGATAATGCAATAGGAACTTGTCATCTGCTCTCCAAAGCAGAGAGGGGCCGTCTGATCACAGGCCTGGGAGACAGCTCAGCCACCCACCCCACCTCTCCCTGTCTCTCTTGCCTACTCTCTCCGGCCAAAGAGACAGGACTAGGTTTCCCAGCTCCCCCTCCACTCCTCTGCCCCCTTCAGAGGGCCCACAGAAGGAAATGTCTCATCACAGCTGCCCCCCTGCTCTCCTTCTCCCAGAAGCACAGCTGGCCCAGGCATCAGAGTGGGAGGCTCACAACAGATTTCCTGGCTTCTTGGCATTGATGTTCCTGTGCAAGATTAGCCTTGTATCTGTACATCCTTCTAAGAGAGAAGGGAAACTGATGCCCTGGAGAGGCAGGGCCATAGATGAACATAGGAAGGGTACCTTCCAGATAGACAATTTGCCCCTCCTTTTCTAACCATGTTTCCCTATCTTCACTGTCTGGTGAACTCTTACTCAGCCTTCGAAACCTACCTCCAATGTCATGATTTCTGCGACGCTTTTCTGAGCTTCCTTCTCCCTAAGCTCACATTTTACTTCATGCACACCTGTTTTTGGTAGCCCTGAAGTTAAATGACAATAATTCTTCCAGGAAGAGGACACATGCCTGGACGTCCAAAGACCTCAGATCGGGTATCCATCAGCTGTGAGACCTTGGAGAGGTCATTTTGCCACCTTAATCACCAATTACCTCATCTGTAATGTGGAGAAAAAGCAAATGCATCCCTTAGGGGTTGTTCTGAAGATTAAATAAAGTAGTGTATGTGTAAGAGCCTAAAATTATACCCATCACATATGTGGATGTATGTTATATCCAACAGAGAGAGATTCCAGAAATATGAGCTTTGTTCCTCCCTTTGCAGTATGTGATCTTCTCGAGGACTGGCGTCAGGTCTCCATTCATTCAAGTACTCGTTCGGCCATGATCGCGGACCTCCTGTGGAGGACCAACCCCTGAGTCCAAAGCTGTCTTACCCAGGAAGTCACCATACAAGGTCCGTCCCATGGGAACAAACCCCACAGTGGGTCTTCTACACCTGCGCGGCTCCAGCACCTGCTTTGCCTAACAGTCCCTGCCCTTCCCAGGTGATTTGACTATGGCGGGTCTTCCAGGTCGAGACCAAAAGTTGACCAACTCCCACAAGGGTCAGCAGGCCTCTTTCCTGCACCAGGCATCCTCTGAGGGAACAGCCTTGTCCAAAAAACCTTGGAAGGAGAGAGACAAAGAGGAACCATCCTCACACCTAGGAAGTTCCCGGTCTGATGAAGGAAGTATTTGACACATCCCTAGGGAGTTTTAGCCTGATGGAAGAGACAGACACATAGCTTTTTGAAAACTCCCAGTCTGAAGGAAGAGTCTTATATTTCTGACTGGGGTAACTTTCAGTCCACTACTAGACAGCAGAGCCCCATTTTCCCAGACACTGCCTACTCTTAGTCTGATGGAGGAGACACATGGATCCTGACCTCAGCCCAATCTATTACTGATGTGGGTGAGACTATTCCGGTCACAGGGAACATTCCGCTAACAGAATCAGTGTGTGCCCATTGTAGCTTGATAGATAGATAAAACAACACATAGAGGGCCAAAGAGCTCAGTCTAGGGTCCCTGGCTGTGCAGTGTCTCTGTGTTTGTGGGCTCAGAAATGATATTCCTGGCTCTGAAGAGGCACCGACCTAATCCCCGGGGCTGGACACAAATGACACAGAATCCTCCGCCTCATACACATCCAGCCAAGTGCCCTCACCAGAGAATCAAGCCAAAGCTGGCCTGAGGCCCCACTGCTGGCATCTCGTGCCAACCTCACCAGGGGAGGCTTTCTCACGATCAGGGACATCTGGGCTGGCACAGCTCCCAGAGGCCACTGACATGAAAAGCGAGGGGCTCAGCGGAAACACCATCTGCACATCATAAAGCCTCTTGTGGTTCCCAGGGGCTGCCTCCAGCTGCAGGGGCATTGCCCGTTGCCGGGGAAAAGCAGAGGAAGGCACCAAGTGGCCGGGAGAGGGAGGCCAGGGTGAGAACAGCATTGCCAAGCAGCAGGAGAGAGAAGGAGGGAGCTCTTCCACCTGGCACCCGACACACTCTGAAAATGAATGTCACCTGAACTGTCACCCTGTCACAGCCCAAGTGGACACTGAGTTATGTCTGTTCCTAAAAGAGATCGAGGGGCAGGGTACATTAGTAGTTAAGAATTCAGTTCAAGAGTTGTGCTGCCTAAGTTCAAATCCCAGCCTCATTCCTTGGGTGAGCGGACCTCAGTTTTAAGGTCTGTACACCGGAGCTAGTACTAATCACACCTGTACTTTGCCAGGCTTGCTGTGAGAATTACAACTAATACTTGAACTGAGCTGTACACTTAATATCCATGCATTTGTTATATTTCCAAAAATTTCACTGTAACAGAGGTATGTGTCCCATCCATAAAGAAGGAGCTCAGTCCCTTTTGGCTCTCACTATTATCATTATTATAATCTGTCCTATCTGGAAGCCACCAAGAAGCCCTTGAACCAAGTATACCTTAGTGGTTACAGATGTTGAAACAGTTTCATTGGCTCTTCTGCCCAAGGCCCTGCCCCCAGCACCAAGGTCACAGTTGATTGGACAAAGGGTAGGCAGTAACTAGAGGGAAGCTCATCTACTGGCAGTTGAACACAGCCTATCAGTTTCTTCATGGAAAACTTGAACAGAGGGTCAGAGTATGTGAACTGGTGACCACACTGGGTCATGAAGAAATAGAGGAAAGAGGCAGAAAGAAAAAAAACAAACCAAAGTGAGACTAGCAGAGAGGAGGGAGCTATAAGTTTTCTAAGAGACAGGAAGAGATGGGGCAGGGGCATCCCATCCTGTGTTTTTTGGTTCCTAGAAGAGTTCCCAGCAGACAGAGATGTACCTATGAGATGCATCCTGCCAGGCAGCACAAATACAAATACACATATCAAGCACACAGACACACACCTACACACTGCATGCTTATATACATGCACTCATTTGTGCTTTTTCCACAAGTCCCCACCCACAGCTGGACAGCATTCAAAATGGCAAATCCCAAAAGAGTTTGATTTTGTGGAATAAGGCTCAGAAGCTGAGAGAGACAGTGAGCTGAATAGTTCTGGACACTAGAGTTGGAGGAAGTGGAGAGTGGGGAAGAGATAGCTGGCTATAGGGGGAAAATATAGGTGCACCAAGAGATACAATGGGGAATTCTATTAAATATCTGAATTGCAGTGTATGATGCTTACAGCAACCTGTCATCAAAATCTCATCCCTTGCCATCTCTCAGCTTTGCTGCCTCCCAGGTTGGCTCCATTCCTGGAGGGTTTGCCCCTTGCTATCGACAAGACAGATGCTGGCTTCTAGACCTCATGTCCCTTAAGCACAGATGATAGAAGGAGTTTTGTATCCTGGCTTGGGCTCCACGGAAGCATGCCCTGGGTGAAGGATTTGAGGACAAATGGATTCCTTGGGAAGCAATCCAGGAAACACTGGCAGGAGATGGGAGAAATGAGCCAGGAAAGGAAATGTTATCGTGCCAGTTATCTCTGTGGGGACCCACAGCATATCTCACTAGAAACACAGGGCAGAATATACACCCCAGAGGAGATGAGGATATTTATTCACCAGTTCCCCTCAGTCATTGTTTGAGGGTTGGAAGTAGGATTGCTTAAATTCTATACCCTAAGTACCTCAGTTGGTCTCCCCTAGCGGCCCTGGCTATTCCTTGGTGACACTGACTCCCTGGCACTCTGACCTGCTGTGCACATGGACAGGACAAGCACTAGCCGCCTGCAAGCACCCCCAGGTAGAGACACAGGGGCTGGTGGCCAGAACTTACACCAGTACAATGGAAAATGCCAAGGGGCTATGGGCAGGGCCCAGACAGTGTCTGCTACGATAAGCCAAAATCTCACTGCAGCTCAGAGGATCTGACTGGATCATATGGTCAATCCCTGGACCGATCATCAGGTCCAGAGGGCTATGCTATGATAACTAAATTACTGCTAAAGTAAAAGATAAGATAATGGGGAACACTAAAAGGTAGCAAAATGGGTTTCTTTGGTACCTCATCAAAATGGGAGAGATAAAGCCAGGTGCACACCTCTAATCTCAGCTACTAGAGAGGCTGAGGCAGAAGGATAGCAAGTTCAAGGCAAGTCTGGGAAATATCATAAAACTCTATCTCAAAAATAAAAAAGGAAGAGGTGAATGACAGCAGCAGCTCCAAGAAATAAGGTGAATGTGTGATGGTACACACCTGTAATCCCAGCACCCTGGTAGTCTGAGGCAAGAGGATTGCAAGTTCATGGCCAGCCAGGGCAACTTAGCAAGATCCTGTCTCAAAATGCAAATAGTGCTAGTTACTTTCTCACTTCTGGGACAAAATACTCAACACCCACAAGTTAAGGAAGAGGTTTATTTTGGCTCACAGTTTGTAGAGGTTTCAGTTCCTAGTCAGCTGGCTCCAAGGCAGGGCAGCATGGTGGAGGAAACAGTCTATGGTGTGGTAGTCAGGAAGCAGCAAGGCAGTAGGCTATGCCCACAGTAACTCACCAAGTTTCATCTCCCAGCATCACACCACATCCAGCCATAAATCCACCCGTGGACTAATCCAGTATCACACACTCATGATCTAGTCACCTCCCAAAAGTCCCACCTATGAACGCATGAGGCTTTGCAGGAGACATCTAGATAGAATCCATAACAACTGGAGTTGTAGCTCAGTGTGAAAGTCATGGGAGCGAAGCGTGAGGGGAGGAAAAAAAGGAGGAGAAGAGAAGAGAAAAGAAATAAGGTGAAAATAAGGTGAGATGTTGGGCAGCCAGAACAAGACACACAAATGACCACTCCTCAAGTTCCAAGTTCCATGTTAATTAGAATCTGAGAAGGTTGGGTCAGGCTTGTCAAAAGCCCTTCCAGATGAAACCTTTATTTTTTTATTTATTTATTTATTTTTTTATTTTTTTTTTTGAGACAGGGTCTCACTGTATAGTTGAGACTGACCTGGAACTCACTATGTAGCCCAGGCTGGTCTCGAACTCACAGTGATCCTCCTGCCTCAGCCTCCCGAGTGCTGGGATTACAGGTGTGTGCCACCACGCCTGGCCTCAGATGAACCCTTTAGATACCACTTGCCTTTGTCTGATCCATGCCAGACAGTGTGCCAGGCTCCGAGGGGGTGCAGATGAAGTGGTGTCATTTATGCTTCCTGAGAGGGAGAAGATAATGACGACTATTTCAACTATCATTTAATTCAGTCTGCTACTGAGATGCCACTGATGACCACATACGTAATTATTTTATAAGCCACCCAGAAAAATGAAAAGCTGCCAATTAAATTATGTTACACCATGGACTATCAAATTCATTCTAATTTTAGAGATATGAAATGCAAAACCAAAAGGGTGTGATGAATTATAGTAGTATTTTTGTGGTAATATTTTATAATAGTTTATGAAGAATTTTTTGTTGTTGTTCTTTGAGACTGGATCTCACTATGTCATTCAGGCTGGCCTTGAACTTACTACAGAGCCCAGGCTGGTCTCGAACTCACGAAAGGGGGTCACGTCACTGCTTTCTTTATTATATCCCATGAAACTGCACTCAAGGGTTGAGGGACTTGACAAAGGTGCCAAAGTGGGACACAATTCCAGGTCTGTCTGGTGGCAGAACCAGGGCACCACCAAGTCTCCCTGGCAAAACTTTTCTATTAGTCCTTTTTAAAACAAGTATGGACTCCTCTCACCTCTCCTTCACTGCATCAGGAAATGAGGAGGCCACTTAGCATCCCCTCCTTTTGTTCCTGCCCACCACACTCAGGCTTGACATTTCTGTTCCCAGGACCTCGCCTCCCATCCAGGAAAACTAGCTTTCCTTTGTGACCACAGACAGGTGATGTTGTCTCTCATTTGCTGGTAAGTCCCTTCGAGACTTCTACCATGGTGAACATTTCTCAAACAGCATCCCTCACAAACATTTGACCTGCGGGCAACCTGCCCTTGCCCTTCAGAGCACCAAAAATTAGTGCTGTTTGGTAATGGTTTGTCCAATAATTTCCTTATTTATACCCAAATGGCCACAAGCTGAGCACAAGGGCAGGATTTACAAATGAGCCGGGACAAGGGGTCCCGGTTTAATTATCTGATGTTGCCACCTTCAGATTCTTTCTAGTTTTGAACAAAGGACTCTACATTTTCATTCTTCCACTGGCCCCTGCAGATTATGGGGCAGGTCCTGCTCAGAACCATCTAGCTACTCCTAAAAGGAACATGGGGTTGGTTCCTGGTGCTCCTGAGATCAGGAGCTACAGCCCTGTCTCCTCTGTATGCTCCGTGAGCAGTGAGTAAAAGGAATGAATGATGTATGGGTATGACACATACACAGCCAATGTCCTTTTATTTGCAAGTGAAAGAAATCCAGCTCACAAAAAATGGAAACAAAGTCTTTGTAAATGGGGGAGGGTGGAGGGGATGAAGGGAGGGCAGGGGTACGGGGAAAAAATGAGAACAAAGATCTATCATGTAAAGGTACAAGATCCTAATGATGAATGTAACTGTACTGTATACTTAAAAAGTACCAATGAACTCAATGAAAAAAAGAAAGAAAGAAAGAGAAAGAAAGAAAGAAAGAAAGAAAGAAAGAAAGAAAGAAAGAAAGAAAGAAAGAAAGATATCCAGTTCACAGTAGCCAAAACTCACCAAGATATATCAAGTACAGGTACAAATTCCCAATAATGAAAGTAATGGTAATGTATATCTAAAATGTACCAATAAATTTAATGAATTTTTAAAAAGAAAAAAAAAAACACACACAAAGTAGCCATAACTCAAAGGAGGGATTTATGGACTCACTGGATTGCAAAGTGTAAGATGTTGATGAGCTTCCAACTCAGTTGGACACAGGACTAGAAATAGCATCAGGACACTAGCTGTTGCCTGTTTTCTCCACATTGGCTATCCTCAGGAAGCACTTCCTCTTGAGTCTCAAAAGTCTCAGGCTGACAAACCACTAGCTCAGCAGCCTCAGGAGTAAGGTTTCAAGGGAAGTTCCCAGCATGGTCAAGCTCAGTCACATGTCTACTTCTGCACCAATCATGAAGCCAGAGGCTGTGTTGTTCTCATTGGCCAGACCCTAGTCACATGTCCACTCCTGGACCCTAGTCACATGTCCACTCCTGGACCAATCACTGGCAATTAGATATTCTCCCAGGGCAACAGAAAATCTCAGGGTCAAAATTAGGATCCTGTTCTCAAAGGAAGAGAGGACTTGATGCTGAAGACCAAAACTACCTAGTAACATGCAGAAGGGCCACAGCAGTGACCAAAACAAAAAACAGACCCAGTTTATGCCCTCCTGGGATTCTCAGTTAAGGGGAGACAGATAATGAGCTTGCAATTGCGAGTTGTTTTAAAGGAAATAGAGAAAGAGTATGGGGGCTATGAGGGAATTTAATAGAGGATTTGTTAGAGCAGGATATTTCGAGAGCTATCCAAGGCAGTGAGAGTTGGGAATGTGGAAACAGCATTTCAGAAGAAGGAACAGTATATGGGAAGGCCCTTCTTGGTGGAAGAGTACTATATTTTCAAGAGACTAAAATTAGGCCAAATATGTCTAAAGGACTGTGAAGGAAAGTGGGTTGTGGCAGAAGATGGTGCCAGGGAGGAAGGCATGGGGCCAGGTTACATGGAGTCTTGTGAGCCTAGGAAAAGAGCTTGTGCTTCATCTGAGGATGATGGGAGGCCACCAAAGAATGCTTGAACCCATTTGATGTTTTCAAGGTCACTCTGTCTGTGGTGCTGGTCAATAATGTGGTGTCTCTTCCTAAGTCAATATCAAGGGTACACAGGCGGAGGAGCTATTTCTTCTGATGGGATATCGGAGAAGGCTTTGAGGAAGGGATTTTACTCCAAGTGTAAGTTGGACAGGCAGGTGAAGGGAAGAAGGCTTCACTTCCCTCTCCAAGCCTTTTCCGTCTGAATAAAGGGAAGACTTTTTTTCCCCAAGTTATGCCTCAGCCTAGAAAGAGATGCCCCTTCCTCCCTCCCTTTGTACAGGGTTAAACAACAGTAATAGCAAGTCATCAGCAAATAATTCAATGATGCAGTAAAATTTGGCATAAACAGACCTGGCTGAGTCACAAAGAAAGAGATTAGGGCTGACCGCGGCAGCAACTCAAAGTCTGACCTGCGCTGGCCTCTGAAGGGCAAGGCCACAGTGGCGAGAGGGGTAGAAAACACCTCCCTGGTTGTATTTTTTCACAAAGGGGCACATTTGCCTCTCGGATGAGTGGGCAAGAGTCAACTGAGCCTATCAGAATTGTGTTCCTAGGAAAGACCCTCTCTGCCAGATCTTTATCGGTGACCAGTCTCTTGAGGGGCAAGAGTTAACACTTTGTGAAACGTGTGCTTGTTAAATACAGTGTACCTCTACTCAGCAAGGAATTTGCCTGTCAGCCCCAGTCTGTGCAGTGCCAGCAAGGTGCCTCTGGGCTCTGTTCCTCACTTAGCAGATAATGGTCTTCCTTGTTCCTTTCCTTCTCCCACTGACTTTCCCAAATAAGGTCCCTTCCAACCAGTGGAGAGACTGACCTGGAAAACTGCTCAGATTTTTTTTCTCTGTTTTGTTGCATTGTCTATCTAGCATCCATCCTCCAATCCTATGGAAATGGCACCATAATTTTTCTTGAGGATCACAATTTAGGTTTAGGTGGCTCTAGCCTCCCACACAAGCTCCAAGAGGAAAAACAAACTGTAGTTTAGGTTTGACTTGTCCCTGAATTCTACCACTATCATGACCACCCTCCTCAATCCTATCCCTGCCCTTCCATGATGATTGGTTCTGGGGAGAACATGCCCTAAATTGGTCCGAGGAAATAACTCCATGACTTTTGATGGCTTACTGGGACAAGGACCATTCATTTCTCTGAGCTGGGCTCTACAAAGATGCCAGCCTAGAGATTCCTAGAAGTCATTAGTGCTTTACTGAACAATGGAGCCAGTGAAGAAGGGAGCAGAACTGAGAGATAGAGACAACAAGCTAGAATCTTGTAACATAATTTGAGCTCCTGGCTACAGCCCTACCTGAAGCTGATATCATTAGGGATGAGCTTCTGACTGTCAGGAAGAAGCCAAGCAATACAAGAGCAGGAATTAGGCACCTTGATTTCTAGTCCAGTGCTCTCAGGCTGCATTGTGTTTCAGGTGACTACACACACACACACACACACACACACACACACACCACTAATCTGGATGTGGCTTTATAGTTAGCTAGAAGATGGATATTTCAAAAATAAAAACATCTGTTCACAATAGAGTTTTATCTAACTGAATTACAGAGCTGTAGAAGGGTCCCTGGAGGTCATATCACTGAGTGGTTTTCAAAGACAACTCCTTATTTCAAATGAAGTCTTAAGCAGAGCTTCTATGTATGAGAAATCTTGTTAGTGCAAATGTACTCTATCTTTAAGTTAAAATGTACTTTATCTTTTAAGTTAAAAGTTTTAACATTTTACTTTTATAATCAATGAAGACCCAAACCTTAATGTGCTATTTGCTTCCAAGCTATATTTTATGTGTGGGGGAGCTTTTCTTATCATCTTTTTTTAACAGTTAAGTATATGAAAACGTCTCTTGGCTCTTCTCCATCTTTCTTTGAGCTTGAGTAACAATAATGGGTATCTGAGTTTGTCAAAGTTCTTCTTTCAGTGTCTAGTTGTTCTGACTTTATAGAAAGGATCCCCTATGCTAGTCCAAGGAAATAAAGTGTAGGCATGGGCCGATGTCATATCTTAACACATATGTGTGGGTGTGTATACACACACAAACACACAAACACACACACACACACACACACACACACACACATA